GGGGAACAGTTCGCACAACTGCTGAACTCCTTTCGCGTGCCAGAAGTGCTCCAAGAGCACAGTTTTTCCAAGGGTTTCGAGTACACTGCGGACTTTGCCTTTGCTTTTCCGTCAGTGGAGAACTTGAAGCCCTTCATGCAGGCAGTGCCCGAGGCCGATTGGCAAGCCTTGAAAACAGACGATCCGCTCTCGTCCGTGCATGGTGCCCAAACTCACGGAAGAAGCCGTGCGAAAAATGCAGGAAGCCTTCCGGGCCAATTATCCCGCAGAGCTGTCAGACCCGACACAACGCCCAGCATACGCTTGCTCAGCCTTGTGCACCATGGGCCCAAGCCTGGCCAAGCCATGCGGTGGGTGCCGTGGCAGTTTCGACTCTCCGCACGCAATGGCAAGAGATCATGGTCGCCAAGGCCAGCAAAGCCGTGCGCTCAAAGATGCAGTTGCTCAGCCACGCCTTCTTCGATGACACTCCAGAAGTGTCTGTCGACTCCCGCACACTCCCAGCAGGGTGGCTCTGCCCTGTGCCAAGCCGCGCACTTGTCCAACCCGAAAGCCGTCGACAAGAAAGTGGCCGAGCTCTGCCTTTCTACGCCCGACCAAGCGCTGGGCCTGCGGACTGTCAACACCCAGGAGCTGCTCGCCGCAGACCACAAAATCTGGAGCGTGATCTCCGAGCTACTGGCTCGGAGCTGGAGCTTGGACGACGCACTGCATGAGGTAACCGTCATGCGCAACGGCTTGCCTAGGCCTGTCTCTTCGTTTCACTGTCTCACCCCGTTGCTTGCGGTCGGAAAACAGTGCGCGAACAAAAAAGAAGCCTGCTCGAGCTCCCTCCCGGGAGCGCATGGCACATGCCGCCTTTTGGCGACGTGCTGGCCAACGTGCACTGGTGTCGGCGCTCGTGGACGCTGCTCAGCGTCGTGCGCCAGCGCTCTTGCTTCCACCTCGGTGGCTCTGCCAGCGCGGCCAGCAGCTACGAGCGAGCCTCGCTATGGCCGGCCCTTCCGGGCCTGGCCGTCTCCCTCTTCGTAGCTGAGCGCCTCTCGGCGCGCCTCGACGTGTCGCCGCCTCGGGGTCTCAGCGGCTGCGCGCGTTTCACCCTAGGCCCGCAGCGCTGCAGACGCGGAAAAAATGTTTGTTGCAGCCCGCAATGCAACTACTTGCGGCGCATGCGGCCACTCCCGAGCACGCGCACGATCATGATGCGGTCGCGTCAGCGCTTTCCACTTTGCTTGCCGCAACGTGCGTGTGAAGTGGCCCACTTGCTGTTGTCCCTTGGTGGCCTTGGCCTTGCCTCTGCTGTTCGCAATTCCGTGCCGGCCTTTTCCGCTTCCTGATCTGACTGCTTGCTGTTTTGAGTCGCCGATTGCCTCGTGTTGCATACGAGTTTCTTGATTACCTTGACAGCCCCGACCGCAGCCAGCTTGCTTTGCGGTCTGCCACGGCGCGTGCAGCACTCAGCCATCCCAACTGGACTCCCCCAGCGTGGCAGGAGGTTTATGCCGGCGCACGTGCGCCTGTAGTGCAAGAGGAAGGCCCTTCCACCTTCCTTCATGGCGGCCGGGCAACGCTGCAGTTGCTGAGGCCCGCCTTGCTGGCCGGCGCCAATCGTGCTGCACAGGCCCGGTTTCCCACCAACGTGCCAGTCTCATCAGCCTTGACCTACCTTTGAGACCACTTTCGCGTTCTCCTCCTGCACCGCCTGCTTGCTGTTGCGCCTGCCGGTGCCGTCGTTTTCTGGACCTTTTTGGCGACCATCCTGCAGCTTGCGCCTGGTCAGGTGTACTCCAGGGCGCGTGCCCGCTGCGCTTTGCAAATCTCAACCTCCAAGTCGATCGGGTTGACGATTGGGGCCAGCCAAAAAAAAAAAAAAACCTTGTCTCGCTTTTGTCCGGCCAGGGCCAGCCTGTCCGGTGCGGAGGATTGGCTGGGGCCGCCCTTCCCTTGGCACGTCTGAGCAACGTGCCCTCCCGCTTTGTGCGGGTTTTTCGTTGGAAGTAGGACGCGCCGCATGCGCATGCAGGTTTCATGTTTCCCCCAGACAAACCACGGGCTCAGCAGGCCAAGAAAGATACGTTGTACATGCCCATGCTGGATGTTACTACGCTTCAACTAGGCATGCTTGTGGAAAGGAGATCGCAAGCTTTTCAGAAAACATTGCAGACAGCTAATGTGATTGCTTGCCTCATGCAAGTGCCGTTGCGCGATGGCGTGATATACCCTGGGGCTGCTTGGCTGCAATTTTGGATGGTGGCGCAGGAAGTTCCAGATGTCCAGCTCTTAGGCAAACGCTGCTTGTGTTGCAGACGGTGCGTGGCTCAGTTGTTCTAGATGTATGAATCGTATGAGCATCAAGTCGATTAGTTCAGCTTTCGTTGCTGTGTGACACATGGGCTACATGGGTGTGTCTGTTTTTGGGGACAAGAACGGTTTTACCATTGGTTTCCCTTTAAGCCGCCCCCCCCCCCCCCCCCCCCCAAAATAAATAAACAATAAACAAATTAGCAACAAAAACACACAAAAAAAAAAAAAAAAACAAACACACACACACACACCCAAACAACAAACCACCGGAAAAATGGGTACAGAACCAGCTGCCTTTCAATGCACGAGTTGCCTGAGGTGAAGCCCGGAGACTTTTGTCTCGTGCAGTGCTTGGTGCGTCGGGTCGCGGGCGAAAGGAATTGACAAGAGGTGGGTGTGGAGGTTGTTGCGCGGGCAGGTAACTTTTTAAGATTCTGGCTTTGAGGTGGTGGGCACTGTTGTGTAAGTGACACTTGGGTTTTTCTTGGACATAGTGCTTGTCCTTTTGGCCTTCTTCCAGGCACCAACTCCACAAACCACACCCAGCCAGAAGTGAAATCGAAAGACTACTTTAATCCGAATTCCATGTCGGACTTTGGTCACTTTTTTGGGTTGGATCATGTTAGCGGCAAACAAGGAGTTCAAAGCCTTTTGGACAATCCACAGCGTTGCTGTGGGGCCTCGGACGCCAGGTTTCGAGGCGAGTTGGGCGAATGATTCCATGTTTTGGTGGCTCGGGGAGGGAAAAATGGAGTCTGAGCCCGAACTGAGAAATCCCTTGCTGGTGGCTTCCTTGATTCGGACAGCGAAGGGTTCATTCCCACAGTTTGGTCATTCCCTGCGCAGCAAGTTCAGGCACCTTTGATTTTTCATCGCAGTGAAGTCCACAGTGGCCCAAGGTTCGCACGACTTGAAGCAATCAGTTTTACCTGGAGCGCGTCTCGCACCCCCGAGTTCCCCAGCCGAGTCACAGGTGCGAGGCCTGTCCTTTTGTGTGTGTGTGTGTGTGTGTGTGTGTGTGTGTTTTTGAGCAAAAGGCAAGCCGGCGCCAGAAATCGAAGGGACATCCAGCCGCGACATGCCACTCGGATATTCGGGGAATTCCAAAGGCTTTCCCCCATTACTCAAGTTCTCACTGTTATTGCCCTCGACCCGGGTTTTTCCTTGGACCGTTTTGGAACCAGACAAAAAATCATCAGCCAAACGCCCTTCACGCGTTCTTAATGTCCAATCGGGATTAGTAAAGGGGGGTCCCCCCCCCCCAATGATGGGGGCACCTGGAATAGTATCTTGAGATCCAGTTCAAGTGAGTTTCCATTTGATTTAGTATTGGTAGACTTGAGTTTCCATTTGATTTAGTATTGGTAGACTTGAGTTTCCATTTGATTTAGTATTGCTGGAGCTTCCTTTTTGAGATTTGGAACTGAGGTTCCATTTGATTTAGTATTGCTGGAGCTTCCTTTTGAGCTTCCTAAGAGGTAACTGCAAGTAGGGAGTTGCATTCTTCAGGGGGGCCAATGCATCAAGACTTTACTATAGGGGCCCCTGGAATAAAGTCTTGGGCTTAAAATTTGGGGGGCTGAAGTACTACCCCCTTTGTGGGTTTGATGGTGGGCAGTTTTTAAACAAGAGACATGTAAGGAAACTTGAGTTTGGGCAAGGTCTGCCGTTTGGATTTTGGGAAGAAAGAAGCAAGCTTCACCAGCATCAGCTGGGATTGTTTTGGAAATTGGCTAGCTGGTTAGCTAAGAGGTAACTGCAATTAGGGAGTTGCATTTTTCAGGGGGGCCAATGCATCAAGACTATATTATAGGGGCCCCTGGGATAAAGTCTTGGGCTTAAAATTTGGGGGGCTGAAGTACTACCCCCTTTGTGGGTTTGATGGTGGGCAGTTTTTAAACAAGAGACATGTAAGGAAACTTGAGTTTGGGCAAGGTCTGCCGTTTGGATTTTGGGAAGAAAGAAGCAAGCTTCACCAGCATCAAATTGGATTGTTTTTGAATTTGGCCAGTTGGTTAGCTAAGAGGTAACTGCAATTAGGGAGTTGCATTTTTCAGGGGGGCCAATGCATCAAGACTTTATTAGAGGGGCCCCTGGAATAAAGTCTTGGGCTTAAAATTTGGGGGGCTGAAGTACTACCCCCTTTGTGGGTTTGATGGCGGGCAGTTTTTGAACAAGAGACATGTAAGGAAACTTGAGTTTGGGCAAGGTCTGCAGTTTGGATTTTGGGAAGAAAGCAGCAAGCTTCACCAGCATCACCTGGGATTGTTTTTGAATTTGCCTGGCTATCTCTCCTCTCCTTCCTCTCCTTCCTCTCCTTCCTCTCCTTTTTCTATTTTTTTGATTTGTTGATTTTTTTCTGGATAAACATGGGCAGGGGTGGCGGGTGCTTGTCTTTATTCTAGGTGCATTTACTAATTATTTTGGGCCCCCCATTTGTCTTTATTCCAGGTGCATTTTCTAATCCTACGTGGACATTATCTTGGGCATGCCTTGTTCTCCGTGTGGGTGTGCCATTTTCTTAGGGCATCCCTTTTTTTGGGTGGCGACGAGGAAAACAACGACGCCATTTTGGGGAGGCATTGTCTTCTGGCATCCTTTCGGTGGCGACGCAGAAAGAAAAACAAAGGCCTTTTTGGGGACGGTCCAACCTGAAACCGACACCTCGCCGACTTCCTCGCGGTTTTTCTGGCGCCATGGAGGCGCCTCTCGCTCGCGGCGCTCGCGGCTCGGCCGCCCCAAAAGGCGTGGCTTCAGCGTCCTTTTCGCGGCAGGCGGCCGTGCGGCTCCGCGCCCCAAAAGGTGGGCGGAGCGGCGGAGACTTGGAGAATGAGCCGAGGCGAAAAGTGCCGGGGTTCTGTAAAGGGGAGCTGCCAGAGATGTGGAAGCAGTGTGTCTTTAGCAGATTCAACTGGTTTTAAGGCTCTTTTGGTCGAGGTTATTGCCCAGGCAGGTGATTTTTTTTGAAAGTCTTCGGTGTTTTTGGGTGGTGAGAACCTTTTCGGAAGTCTTACATTTTCTATTTTCGACTCATTTTTCTTTGGACTCTGTACCATGTGGGGTGTGTCTGTCTTTCGGGCCCCCCGATTGCTGGTGTTCCTGGTTTCCCTTTAGAGCCACCAAACTTGGGGGTACCAAAAAAACAAACCAACAAAAAAACGTGCCACCCATGTGGTGAGCTTGCATTGAAGCGTGGAGACGGTCGCCTGAGGACACTGGGCCCCCAGCGCCCTCGTCTTCCTCGCGGCGCGGCGCTTCTCGCTCCGCGGAACTCCGCGGACTCCGCGGCGTGTCGAGGCGGTGCCGGGGCACGGGCTCTTCGCGCTGCACGAGGTGGATCCGGAGCTCAGCACGCGGCTTGGAACGCAAGACTCTTTCGGGTAGCGGTCTTTTAGCCGTCCCCTGAGGTTTTCTGAGGGCGTTTAGCTTGTTTGGTTATTGTTTTCATTTCACCCACACGCTAATGTTGATCCCCTATGAATCAACACAGTTTATTAATAGGGGGTGTTCCCCTGCAAAAGTGAACAATCCCCACTAAAACCAGGGACGCCCCCATATCCAGCAACAGGGGTTTATTAATAGGGGGTGCTCATTACGATGGGAACGGCAGAAGGAGAAACTGTGAGAACGTTCCACCTGGAACCTTCAGACACGGCTGTGGGCGGAGATGTGTGTAGACATTGCCCACACATGCTGCACAAATGTATTCTACATATATTTGTCTTTGACGCACTTGTTTGTGAGTGCGAGTGGTATGAAGAACCTGTTTGCAGATCGCTTCCTATGATACCGCATGCACAAAGTACTCTCTGCCAGGGCTATTTTTCAGCGAACGATGACTCACCTTCTCTAGAAAATGGTTCGGATGCGCTTCTTGTGGATTGAACTCACCCGTCCTTTTTGTTCGTCTGTTGTTTTTGGTGAGCTTTTTTTTTCTTCTAACATTTATTTGTCCGTTGTTTTTGGCGAGCCATCTTTTCGTTGTTTTTTAGGACCCAAACCGGTTGCTGGATCCACTCCTCAGAACCGCCGAAGCCGAAGCAAGCGAGGCTGATCTCGAAGGAGTGGGACCGGCAGACGCGGAGCGTCAACCTCATCGCCTCGGAGAACTTTGCGTCTCCGGAGGTCGGGCCGAGAGGTGGGAGGGTGGGAGGTGAGGTTCGGGGCCGTGTGACACCGGAGGGGCCCAAAAGTGTGGGGGGTAAACGCAGGTCCCTGTTCAAGGTTGGAGGCTCCGAGGTGGCTCCGAGGTGAGGTTCGGGGCCGTGTGACATGGGGCTTGGGACCCCGTCAGGTCTTTGAGATCTTAGGCTCGGTGCTCAACAACAAGTACTCCGAGGGTCTGCCCGGGGCGCGGTACTATGGCGGGAACATGTTCATCGACGACGTGGAGAGGCCGACGAGAGCCGGCGGAAAGAAACCGTGGTTTTTTTTGGGTCCGGTGGGAAACCCAGTGAACATTTACAGAACTGGCATGGTGGTGGACAATCCTTAGCTTGTACCCCGAAACTGCAATTCCAAGAAACTACTGTACCAGGCTGAATGGGATTGAGGGAATGGTTGGGGACTATTCGCGTTGGTTTTTTCCTTTTTGGGTTGCAAGTGACCTTCTCCCTCCCCGTTGAGTTGACGTTCGTTTTCTGCTTTCGGTTGGCAGGTTTTCCTCCTCATTTGAGTCGAGGCCCAAAAGGTTTGAACTTTTTTTGGCTCAACTTAGCCGGTAAGTACGGGAACGAGGTCATGGTTTTGTCAAGCTGTTTGAGGGAATCTCCCTGTTGAGCAAGTAGTCGCGGGAATCCAAAACTTGAGTATCACAGGGGTGGATTTCCAGGAGAGGTCGCGTGTTCGTACACCCTCCCATCGCTTAGGTTAGCGCGGAAGAAGGGGGAGGGGAAGTTGACGACCAGCCAAATGGGGAAATCCCCAAAAAGAGTGGCTTCCATGTATTTTGCCCCTGACACCACTCAAACAAACATATCCTCCAAAAGACCTCACACCTTCTTCACAAATCACAGAAGCAGATCCTCAAAAGCCGAGCCACACCCCTTAGCCGAACACCGCAATTTGGCGATTGAAATGCGCGGAGAGGTTGTGCAAGCAGCGGGCGCTCGCTGCATTCGACCTGGATCCTCTGAGATGGGCAGTGAACGTTCAGCCCTACTCGGGCTCGCCCGCCAACTTTGCCGTGTACACGGCCCTGCTAGAGCCTCATGACCCTTGGAGAGAAGAAGATGGCAGCCAGATGTTTCATTCACCCAACGCAATGATTGAATGAGCAACATGTTTAGTTCAAAACCCGTGTTAATTCACCCAGCAACATTTTTAGTTTACAGCACGGTGTTAATTGACCCAGCAACATTTTTACTTCACAGTGTGGTGTTGATTGACCCAGCAACATGTTTAGTTCACAGTACGGTGTCATTTCACCCAGCAACATGTTTGAGCCAGCAAGGTTTTGAGTTCACAGTACGGTGTCAATTGACCCAGCAGTACGGTGTTAATTGGGCCAGCAACATTTTAGTTCACAGCACGGTGTTAATTGACCCAGCAAGATTTTGAGTTTACGGTACGGTGTTATTTCACCCAGCAACACTTTCAGTTCACAGTACGGTGTTAATTCACCCAGCAACATTTCTAGTTCACAGTATATACGGTGTTAATTCACCCAGCAACATTTTTAGTTCACAGCACGGTGTTAATTGACCCAGCAACATTTTTAATTCACAGTACGGTGTTGGCCCAGCAACATTTTTAGTTCACAGCACGGTGTTAATTGACCCAGCAACATTTTTTTAATTCACAGCACGGTGTCAATTCACCCAGCAACATGTTTAGTTCAAAGTACGGTGTTAATTCACCCAGAAACATTTTTAATTCACAGCACGGTATTAATTGATCCAGCAACATTTTTAATTCACAGTACGGTGTTGGCCCAGCAACATTTTTAGTTCACAGTACGGTGTTAATTGTCCCAGCAACATTTTTAGTTCACAGTACGGTGTTACTTTACCCAAGAAGAACAGGGTGAAGAGCAGGGTGTTGTAAGGAAAAACCCTGCTTCGAGGGAAACAAAAACCCGCAGAAACTCAGGAAGTACTGTGAGCTAAGTATGTTGCTGGGTCAATTAACACAGTACTGTGAACTAACAATGTTGCTAGGTAAACTAACACCGTACTGTGAACCAAAGATGTTGCTGTGACCAGCGCAAACCGCTAGGAAGAATCGTCATTTTTTTGTTGGGAGAAAGGGGGGGGGGTGAATATCTATATTTTTGCCTGAAAGGATCCTCTTGCATTTCCATTTTTCCCCACATCTTGATCTGTTTTTGGAGGACGAGGGGGGGAACCAATTTGAGTTTTTTGTTTGCTTTGTGAATTTTACCAAAACATCTTTATTCGTTTTCGGAGAAAGGGGGGGTTGAATATCTTTCCGGAAAGGATCCTCTTGGATTTCCATTTTGGTTTGGCTGTTTTTTTTTCCCCTCCCGCAGCTTGATTTGTTGGAGAAAGGGGCCTCCGCAGCATCGCCCCCATGAGCCAAAGCCAGGATCGCATCATGGGCATGAGCCTGCTGGCTGGGGGACACCTCACCCACGGGCACTACACCAGCACCCGCAAGGCGAGAAGCCGAAAGCCGAAAACCGAAAGACCAGACGGCAATGCCCACTGATTGGCACACCTCTCCAGACAAAATCCCAAAAGCAAACATTGGAACCAGACAGGGACTCTGTAGAACTCCTTTCCTCGAGGGGCCCCAGCTAGCATGTTTGCGTCCAACGGGAGTGAGTAACGATCAGCTACACATGGAGCCACCAATTGAGGTTTACCCATATATCGGGATCATTTAGTCAGGTTCTCTGTTGCCCAGTGGATTCTGCTTGCTTTTTTATCTTCTTTTTTTGGGAAGGGTTGTGATTTGCGAAACTGAGAAAATCAAAAAAAATGCGCATTTTCTTTCCCATGGCCACTGGGCATCTGAGTTTAAGCCGTGGGCGGTTTTCTGCAACTTTTGTCGTCCAAACTTGATTTCTCCCTGGTCCGTATACAATTTCTTCATTTGCCCATGGTTTAAGCAACTCTTTTTGCTTGTTGCCCCTGCTGCGTGTATGAATTTCTTCATTTTCTAACTTTTTAGAACTACTTCCCCCACTTTTGCCCGCCCATTTTCGTTTTGCCCAGCCCTGTTTCTCTCCTTGTCTAAACATTTTTTATTCAAACGACCTCCTTTGGGTGTCCCTTTCAAGCGGGCTTGGCTCGCCTTTTTTGGGGCGTTCCCTTGGCGTCCGAGTTTTTCTAGGGGTTGATCCCTCATTCTTTGCCACCCTCGTTCTTTTCAAGCACCGGCTGTTTTTTTTTTTGTGGTTTCCGCTGGTTTTCTGGAAAGAAGGATGGGGGAGTGTCCCCTTTCCAGGGTCCTCTGTTTTGGGCTTTCTGGAGAGAAGGATCCCTTGAAAGAATGGACATGGAAGTGTCCCCGAGAGTTTTTTTTACCCACGAAAGCTCCGGTCGGAAGGTGTCTGCGACCTCGGTGTACTTCGAGTCGTTGCCCTACGGCGTGGACAAGAAGACGGGCTTGATCGACTACGAGGCTCTGCGCGACTCGCTGAGGGATCAGGGCCGAAGACACGAGCGGCAGTGGTGGCGCATGCGGTTTTTTCAGAGTGTTTTTCTTGGGTTGGTTTTTATTTTTTTTGCTTTTTTTTGGGTGGTGGGGGGCTGCAAAAACAAGAAACTAGTCAATCAGTCTTCTGCTACTATATCAAGGGTTTAGACGTTGTCTTTATTGGAGTTGGCACCCTGTTTTTGGTGGCTTCATCATTTTGGGCCTTTTCCAACTAAAAAGACACGCCCATTTTAGGACACATTCCAAAGTCCAAAAGGGCCTTTGACTTCATTTCAGACTTGAGGATCTTATGTTTATCCAAGGAAAACGGAGAGGCACATTGCTTGACTGCTATTGGGTTGGATCTTTAGACTTCAACTGTTTGGTTGAAATCCAGTTGGGTTTTCCCCACACCCCCAAAAAAAGTGGTCGGCTTTTTGCAGTGGAGACCCCAGCCACCTTCGATTGCAGCACGGGATCGGCTGAGCTGAGGTGAGACGGCCAGGACGTTTCGCCCTCGCCTCATTATCGCCGGGGCCTCCGCGTACCCTCGCCATATCGACTTCGAGGCTTTCCGCGAGGTGTGCAACGAGGTGCCATGGACGCCTCGGGTCTCGCGTTCGCTGCGGAGAAGGGGAGAAGGGGAAGGGGAACGAAAACCGTTTTGACCATTTGGGGATTTCTGGAGAAAGGAAGCCACCAGTTGGAGGGTTTAGGACATTCAATTTCTCATTCCCTTCCTTTCGCAAGTTCTTTAGGGTTATGATCCGTGAGACCCTGTCAAGTGCTCCCTGCTTGCACCATTCCCCTAGGTTGGCTTTTTTTTTTTTTTGGTTTGTTGGGGGGGAGGGGTTGCTTGCCCTGGAAAACAGATCGGGGGCCTTGGCCTCCCCTTTGAAAGGCTCGTCCTTGGGTTTCCATTTGTCCCCGGGCTCCCCCCCAAGCCCCACGGAAGTCGCGACAAGCTGAAAAAAGACCGAGGTGGGCGCCTACTTGCTGGTGGATATGGCACACATCAGCGGGCTGGTGGCGACGGGCCAGCATCCTTCCCCCTTCCCATACGCGGACGTGGTCACCACCACCACGCAGCATGACTCAGTTGAGCCAGGGGAACCCTTTCTGGGTTGTTTTGGGACGCCCCAAAACTGGGTCCTGGCTTCCCTTTGTCCCTTTCTTCAGCTTCCCTCGTTGCTTGGTGGTTTGGAACCCGGTGGTTTGAAATGTTCCCCTTTTCAAGAACCAGGGTGTTCAAATCCCTAAACCACCAACTAAGGTTTGCCTGAATTTTAGGATGCCTGGGTCCTGGTTTGAGCAATGAAGCTTTAAAAGGTTACTACACTTGGGTTTGTGTTGGTACCCCCCTCACTGCTCTCGGCATGGTTTTTTGGATCTTGTTTTTGGCTCTGTTCATGTTGAGTTTTTTTGCATCGGTGGCGGGAAACGAGGGTTTTCTTTGCTCACATGCAAAGGGCTCGAAAGGCATCTACACTTCACCAATCTTGTTATAGCCATCCCCTTTACTAACCCCAAAAAATTGCAGTTGCGGCAACTTAACTTCGGCAGGGTCGGATCGATCCTTGGCCAAGGCACAAAACGCTGCGCGGGCCGAGGGGCGGTATGATCTTTTGCCGCAAGGAGTTCGAGCAGAAGATCGACAACGCGCGGTCGCTAGCTGCGGTCGCCGCGGCCTTTTTTTTGGGTTCCCCGGGTTTGGGTGTGTTCTGATGTGCCGCTGCGGTGGTATATTTGTCGTATGTAGTGTTTGGATGGTGTTTGGGGCTTCTATGAGATCTTATCAAGTAGTGACTCCATCATGAAATCTGCTGCTGCTTTGTTTTAGTGTCCATCAAACCGCTCTCGCACATGCTCACATGCACAGGCATCTCATTGATTTGTGCGCCCATGGCTCCCTCACGCCATGTGGCGCACACAGGCACAAAGAAACAAAGCGAGAAACCGGAACAAACAAAGAGGCAACAATAGAATCAATTAAGCAACAATGAAACTACCAAACCACCAAGAGGGAAGAAGAATCCAAGCCAACCACGGCAAGCAGGTGTGTCTTCCCTATTTAAAAAGCCAACCAGAAGAGGGTCCCCCCAAAAAAAAGTTAGGGACCCCCCAAATGTTTTGTTTTTTGGTTTGTTTTTGTTTCCCTTTTAAAGGTAACCAACAAAAATGGCTTTCCCTCAAAGATGAGACAAACCCCAGCCACCCGGCAAGCCCACCGGCACCGCCACCGGCACAGCACGCTTCAGGCGGTATTCCCGGCGCTGCAGGGGGGGCCTCACAATGCCACCATCGGGGCTCTGGCGTGCCAGCTGCGGGAGGCCGCGTTTTTTTTTTGATAGTAGTTTCTTTGGGGGGCGGGGGGTAGTAGTTTCTTTGTTTGGGGGCCGAAAAGGGCAAGTGAGAAGCAAGAAGGGGGTGCCGAAGTATCTTCTCTTCTTGTTGAGATATCTTTGCATTCCCAGCCCCCCCCCTCCCCCCCCCCCAGCCCCCACCCTAAATCGGTCCATGGCCAGGTGGCCAGCCCGGAGTTTCGGAGCTACGGCCAGCAGGTGGTGGCGAACTGCGGGGCCCTGGCGAACTTCTTGGCTCAGGAGGGCTGCAAGCTGGTGACCGGGGGCACGGACAACCACCTGCTGCTCGGCTCTCGGCTCGGCTGTTTTTCGGACTTTTTTTCTTGGGTTTTTCGGCTTCTCCGTTTCCCTTTTTTTTGGGGCTCCGTTTGGCCAAGGCACAGTTTGCGAGTTTGCGAGTTGGCCGAGCTTGCTTGCTTGCTTGCTTGCTTGCTTGCTTGCTTGCTTGCTTGCTTGCTTGCTTGCTTGCTTGCTTGCTTGCTTGCTTGCTTGCTTGCTTGCTTGCTTGCTTGCTTGCGTTTTGTGTGGTTCTCCGCTCTCTTCTGTATCTTTCTGCGTATTTGCCTCCAGCAACCCCGTGCCTTTGATCTGAAGAGATGCAGTTTAGCAATTAAAATTATGCACCCATATAACTTTTCCTTCAAAAGGGGATTCCATGCTAGCGGACCCGGGTGGACGATCTAAGAACCCTTGGTTAGCACCTGGAAGTTGAAGGACTCGTGGGATCTTAGTGGGAACATGTGGCCTCCTTGGCACGTTTCTAGGGGTATGCCCCAAAAAACGGGTCATTCAACAAGATGCAAACGGCACGCGAGCCTTTTGGGGTCTGGCGTCGGGCGACGATCGCTCTATCGCTCGCTCGCTCGCTCGAAGGCTGCTGTGGGATCTGAAGTCCGAGGGTTTGTCGGGAGCGAAGATGGAGAAGGTCTGTGAAGAGGCCTCCATCATCGTGAGCCTCGGACCTTTTTCTGTTTTCCCCCTTGTCGGTGCGATAGCTGGGGAACGAGAAATGGAATGAACCGTTTTTGGGGACTCCCTGAAAGGGAACTATAGGGGATTGTTTTTTGGGGGTCATTCCCTGCTGAGCACCAGCACGTTTGTTTCCTGCCCGGCTGAAAGCGTTTGGGCGGTTTCTGGTTGGCGGTTTGGGGCCCTCGGATTTTGTTCCCCCAGGTTGGTTTTTTAAGCTGTTTTTGTTTTGTTGTGTGTGTCTCTGTCAGGACACCCCTTTCACTGGTGGCTTGGATTTGTGGTTTGCGGATTTGAACCCCTGGTTCTTGCAAGTAGTGGGAAGGTACCCCCAAACAACCTGGAACCACCAATTGTAGGCAAGCTGCGTTCGTGCGTGCGTGCGTGCGTGCGTGCGTGCGTGCGTGCGTGCGTGCGTGCGTGCGTGCGTGCGTGCGTGCGTGCGTGCGTGCGTGCGTGCGTGCGTGCGTGCGTGCGTGCGTGCGTGCGTGCGTGCGTGCGTGCGTGCGTGCGTGCGTGCGTGCGTGCGTGCGTGCGTGCGTGCGTGCGTGCGTGCGTGCGTGCGTGCGTGCGTGCGTGTGTGTGTGTGTGTGTGTGTGTGTGTGTGTGTGTGTGTGTGTGTGTGTTGTTACTGATGTGGCAAGCGCAAGTCGCCTGTTCTAGCGTTGTTTTCCCTGGAGCCGTGTTTCATTAAAGTTTTCGGGCCTCAGCCGTGCTGAATTGGGCTCCCCTTGGCATGTTTCGGCCCCCGCAAATCTGGCAACTCAGAATGTGAGTTGGCGTGTGGTCTGTTCAAAGGCACTTGTGGTTGCGAACGTCCCTTTTGTGTTCCCCCAACAAAGATGACCCCTCTAAAGATCAAAGTTGGAGGCAGCCCCGTTTTGGTATGTGGGGGAACGCCCGAGGAACCGCAACACCATCGCCACCGACACCTCCCCGGTCTCCCCGGGTGGTGTCCGCCTGGGTAGCTGTGCCATGACCACCCGGAAGGTGGACGAAAAAGGCAGGGGAAAATCGGGCTTTGGGCTGCCGCTTTTGGGCATGCTTAGGGGGATTTCATATTTCAGGTTTGGGTCATTTAAAGGAAAACAAAAGGAGGTTGCTTAAACATGTTGAAGCAAGGGTTGCATCGCCCAACACGGCCCAGCTGCGACTACCCGACAGGGACGGTGCTGCAGAGAGAGGGAGAGAGATTGAAAGAGAGAGAGAGAGAGAAAACAAAAAGAGAGGGAGAGCGAGAAGTGAAAATTTGGGTGTCTCAAAAATAGGGGCCTTTTGGTTTCCGCCTTGCGGGACCCCTCTTTGAGAAACGCCGATTTTCCACCGCCGGCGAGGCTTCGAGCGGATCGGGGCTTTTCTGCTGCGGGCGCGGGACATTGCGCTGGACATCCAAAAGAGGCGGGGGGGGGGGGGTTTCCGGGTCGGAGAGGGAACATGTGTGTCATAAACACATTCTTGTATTGTTGTTTTGCATCACCAAGCCCAAAAGAATGTCAGAACCTCTTTTGAAGACTAGGTGTTTAATGGGGTCCTGGAAGCCATGCAACCGCTGCTGGGCTTTCCCTGAAGGTCTGGAAATAAGAAGCTGGTCACGTTCCTGGATTTCTTGCACGCACCTTGGCATTCGCCGTATTCTCCTGACATGGTGTCAACACATTTTTTGTGCAACTTTTGACTAGTTTGCTCGCAGTTTCTCACATTTTTGACGATGCCCCATGAGGGAGAGAGACATAAGGCCCCCTTGCCCAAAAAACTTCTAAGAACAATTCTAGCAGCCCCAAAAGTATATGGGTGTGTCTTTTTTCTCTCCAGTCGGACCCTTCCAAAATCATGGTCTTTTCGTGGATTCCCTTTTAAACCAGCCCAAAAAGCCCATATTCTTCGTATCTTTGCCGGATGTGGGGAGAGCCTTGGGTGTTCTCTTCGCCCCCGAGGATTCCAGCTCCCCTGAAAGAGCTGCGTGGCTGCAAAGGGCTGAAGTTGCGCCACTGGAGCGTCGCGTTTTGCTCCAGATGGGGTCAAAACGAGCTCGCTATGTGGAATAGATCCTTTGCATGGGGATCCAATTCTTATTTCAGGTTGAGGAATTTTGTAAAAGTTGCAGATCACATCAACAGGCCTCCTTGGAACAGTTTTGGGTCGAGGGTTCCTAACTTTCACCCACCAGGTTTGTATCCCGGACTGGAGGGGGGGAGGTTCCCCTAGAAGAGAGGAACCTCAACAAAAAATGGCCCTCTTCTCACCAACTCTTCCAGCAATATTTCTATAGCTAATCAACACCGGTGTGTCTGTTTTCATCCTCATGGCTTTCCTCTTGAAACCACGGAGCAAAGGTACCAAGCCTACACCCCAAACAACCAATTCGCGGGTTCCACATTGGTGTGCCTCAAAATAGGCGACCCGCGCCAAAAAACATCTCCTGTTTCCTCTCCTTTTTCCTTTAAAGCCCAGCACAGCGGAAAGACTCCCCGCTTTGACACGGTGCACGGCCCGCCCTTGGCATCGAGCGAGGCCTTGTTGCTGGAGCTGGGCTCGGAGGTGGAGGACTGGGCGGCGACGCTGCCCTTCCCCAGCCAGTGACCGGGTGCAAGCGCCGAAAAGTGCGCGGGTCTGTGTGTGTGTGTGTGTGTGTGTGGGTGTGTGTGGGTGTGTGGGTGTGTGTCTCCAGCCAACGAAGACGCCCCCCGGTGTCCGGGTCCAAACGTACCTGCGGGGCTGCGCCTGGGCCATTGTCATGGCAGCTGGCGGGCCCACCCCAAACAAAGGTCCCCTTTTTGCCCTTTTCTCCAAAACCAGCTGAACCCCAGCTGTACTCGAGACTCACCAGCTGTACTCGAACGATGAGAGACTCATCAGTTGTACTCGAGACTCATCAGTTGTACTCGAGACTCATCAGTTGTACTCGAAAGGATTAGCACCCTCCATCTGGAGTTTAAGTGTGTACACCCCATTCGTGGGGAATCCTCGGGTGTACCCATTGTGTGACCCCGGGCCGGCTCTGTCGGAAAATTTGACCTCAACGTGCTTATCATAGATCAGCGGAATTTCACATTTAACCAGGAACGAGGTTTCACTAAAGGGAAGACAGCCACCTCTTCATAGCTACGTTTCACCCTCCCTCCTCGCCTTCGTCGTCCGCGTGTCCGTCGTCTTGCTCTTCGCCCGTTTAGGGATGGCTTCTCCTTCCTCCCGTTCCTTCTTCCGGCCTTCCGTCTTCCGCGTGTTGCTGTTCTTCTTCTTGGCCCGTTTAGGGATGGCTTCTTCTCTGCCGCGTTGTTTGCCTTTTTCGTCGTCGTCCTCTTCTTGTTTGCCTATTTGTTCGTGGTCCTCGGTCCCCTCGCGCTGTTTGGCTTGCCGTCTTCGTTCCCTACCGTTGCTTCATCGGGCTCTTCCTCATTTTTCTTTTGCGGGATTCGACGCCCTCTTCCTCGAGCATTGGCTTTGTCCTCGTGTTTCTCTGGGCGGGATGCGTCGCCTTAAATACGCACACTTACGTTCTTTCTTTCTTTCTTTCTTTCTTTCTTTCTTTCTTTCTTTCTTCTTTCTTTCTTTCTTTCTTTCTTTCTTTCTTTCTTTCTTTCTTTCTTTCTTTCCCTCTTTCCCTCCTTGTCCCCTTCTCTCGTTTCCTGCCCTTTTCTCCTGTTCCCTTCTCCTTCTCTCCTCCTCCTCTCTCTTCGTTTTTCCTTCTTCCCGGGCGGGATGCGGCGCCCTAAATACGCACCCTGCTCCTTTCTTTTTCCCCCCGGGCGGTTGCGACGCCCTAAATACGCTTTCTCTCTCTCTCTCTCTCCCTTTCTCTCTCTCTCTCTCTCTCTCTCTCTCTCTCTCTCTCTCTCTCTTTCGTTCTTTCTTTCTTTCTTTCTTTCTTTCTTTCTTTCGTTCCTTCTTTCTTTCTTTCTTTCTTTCTTTCTCTCTTTCTCTCTTCCTTTCTTTCGTTTCCTCCCCCCCCTTTTTCCAACTACTTCCTGTTCTTCCTCTTCGCCCGTTTAGGGATGGCCTGGTCCTCTTCTCGGTCTTCAACTTTGCGGTGGTGGTCGTCTTCCAGGTTTAGGAGGGTTTCTGGGCTGTTTGGGGTTTTTGCCCTCGGCGGTGACCCTAAAACTCGGGTTCCCCTGTTTTTCGTGTTTCTTGGTTGGGGTTTTGCCCGCGGAGGCCCAACGTGGGGCTTTCTGTTTCTTTTGGGTGCTTGCTCCGTTTGTTTTCTGTTGGGGTCTTCGTCCGTCTTTCGGGCGCTTCTTCTCCCCCCCCGAGAAAGTGTTTCTCGCCCCTCTTTGAGGGGCGTGTGTGTGCGGAGTGGCAGAATACCCTGCCACCATACAATCCTTTTTTCACGACAGCAGGGGGCTGGAGCCGGCCCGGGGGGTCTCCAGCCAACGAAGGCGCCCCCCGGTGTCCGGGTCCAAACGTACCTGCGGGGCTGCGCCTGGGCCATTGTCATGGCAGCTGGCGGGCCCACCCCAAACAAAGGTCCCCTTTTTGCCCTTTTCTCCAAAACCAGCTGAACCCAGCTGTACTCGAGACTCACCAGCTGTACTCGAACGATGAGAGACTCATCAGTTGTACTCGAGACTCATCAGTTGTACTCGAGACTCATCAGTTGTACTCGAAAGGATTAGCACCCTCCATCTGGAGTTTAAGTGTGTGTGTGTGTGTGTGTGTGTGCAGGTTGCTCAGTGCAAACTGCGATCGCAGCTCTTTTTTTCCTCCTTCCCCTTTCATATTTGTGAGTGCAGATCAAGTGAAGCGCGGCTTGCGCGGATTCGGTTGCCGGGGCGTGCTTGTGAGCGCGCAACGGGAGGGATGGGGTGTTGGGGGGGTTCTGTTTGACATTGGAGGCATTTGGAGGCTGTCGGGCCAGTTGAACCCACTGCCACGCCAACAATCCTGCCCTCTTCAGGCAATAGCTTTTTTTCTTGCGGGGATTCCCTCATTTCCGGGTCTTAGAAACGTCGCCGCGCTGCGATTCAGCTGCACGGCTCCAGCAGTTCCCAGTGACAAGACGTCATCCGCTGCAGGCAGGCGCGGATGCAAGTTAGCTGCGCTGCTTGGGGATCCTTGGAGAATTCGAGAACCCTCGATCTGTTCATCTTCAGAGACAGAAGGCATGGCCGATCCGATGGGCGTGCCGACCCACTCTCGAAGTCTCAAAGCAACCCGGACCGTCACCAAACCCGCTCAAATCCTGGGCCCGGAGCCAAGATGCTTCACAAGCTTGTCAAACATGGTGTTGCTCCTGCTTCGCCCCGCCCTTGGGGTTAGTAAGACCCAAGTTGAGTCATGAAGGGGTTCACCTTTGGGAGAAGCCTTCCCCTAAGATTGATGAGTCCAGGGTCAAGCTCTCGCCACTGCTATGTCTCAGCCAAACCTTCTAGAGGTCCTGAGGTTGATGCTTCAGGCTGTTCAACCCCCGCTCTTTCAGAAACCAGCCATTTTCCGAGGGCCCGATTTTTCTGGGAAGGATCAGGGGGGCGCCAATCAACTTTGTTTTTGCAACAAGCTCCTTCGGGGTTCCCTTTAAAGGGCACCGGCTTGTTTAAACACGACCTGCTTTCCTTTTTGGACCGTAACTTGAGACCGCCATTCAAAAGGACTGACCAAACTGCATTTCGACAGACTGAGTCCTGTCAGGTATGGATGCCGGAGCAGCCAAGTATCTCCAAGAAAATGTGGGCGGCGTGTTGGCCAAAGCCCTGGCCGAGATGGCCGTAGTGCAGCCCAAGGAGCCGTAGTGCACTCGGATCGAGTCGGGCTGGGGATCGGTTGGGGCGGATCGAGCGCCGATTTGGCCAAGGTGGGCGGAAAACCAGGGACGACTCACAAGGGATGACCCTAGCTGGTGGTTGAAGGGGGGCCAAGGAGCGATAGGCAATTTGAGTTTCAAGATGGAGCTAAGGAGCTACCAGGAGTTCCACAAGCCTCCTTGTGGTGTGGATTTGAAGCAGCCAGAAAAAAATACACCGCCCTGAAAGAAAGCCCATGCTCAGAACGCACTAGGCATGGGCCATTTTCTACCTGGCCCTTCAAGCTTCAAAAGCCTCCGGCAAGCTCAATGAGTTGTGTGTCGAGGTCTGTGTGGTGTGCGGGGCCAAGCCTCCTCTTGACCTCCCCAATTGGAACCTCCCTCAAATAATCATAGACTGCTTAGAGGGCTTTTGGAAGACTACAGCGCTTTTGGGAAGCTTCAAAACGTCCACTTCCATGATTGTTGGAAGGTAAGTGGGGTTGGAGGGACCCCAAAGTGGTGGTTTTCCTTTAGAACCAACAAAAAAAAGGGGTTGCTCTCAAAGACAGGCACACCAAAGTGATGTTCACCATGGGGGTTTTGCATGTCACTTCGCACCGATGCTTTTCCGCTCGCCCGAGCGACCGCCGAACGCCTGGCTCTCAGCTGTGGGGGGAGTTCCGTCCCTGCGGGTCGGTCGAGGCCCCGGCCCTTCCCCCCCCCCCGCAACACAGACATCAGCCTCGTTTCAGGATGTAAGTTTTCGCCGTTTTCAGCCTGGATCAGGTCTTTCGAGCATCTTGAGGGCCGGTTCTTTTTGTTTCGTCCTTCCTCGTGGCGGTGGCTTCCGAAAGCTCTTTGAGCCGCGATGGAGACCGCAAAGGTGGGCTTCATCACCGAGGTGGCTGGGGCCTCAGGGTGGGGCTTGTGCCCCGCGGGGGGGGGGGGGTTGAGGGAAGGAGTTCATCGGATTTTCCGCCAAGCTGAGCAGTGAATTGAATCTATACCCCAAGCATCAGGCATCCGAGTCTTGAGATTGAGACGCCTTTCTTTTTTTTCCTTTTTTCTCCGAGGACATTGAGACGCCCGAAGAGGCCATCGTCGTCGAGGCGCTCTGTTTTTTGTGGTTTCTTGCGTTTGTTCGTGGGGTATTTTTTTAAAATCATCAACCAAAATAAGCGTATAGGCTGTATAGGTGGTCATGGAGGGGACTGCCCAGCCATTGGAACTGGAGTCCTGGGATCATGTTGGCCTCGTGTGCCGTGTCTCAAGAAGTTAGCCAGGACAATGCCAGGATGTCACGGAATGGAACTTGGAGATGTGGAGACTGACCAATCCACAGGCAGACAGAGTACATGCTTTGCCCTTGTAACAAGTGTTTTTGGCCTCATGTGGGCTTTCTGGCCTCCAAAAAAAAAAAACGCCTCTCACAGCACGTGTTGCAACGGGGTGGCTTGAAATTGAAGGCCGGCCCTCCGTTTTTGGGGGCTCCGGCGGGCTCCTGCCCTAGGAGCCGGAACCCTTGGAGAACACGCCCTCCACGCCCTCGCGGATGGGCACCAGGGCGGCTCGGAGGGGCTGCTTTTTTCGGGACGGGCTGAAACTGGCGCCAGCGCCATAGGGAATGAGAAATGGAGTGAACCGTTTTGGGGCATTCCCGAAAAAAAGAAAATGAACTTGTGGATTCCCTCAAAAGAAACAGCAAGGGAGGGTTTAGAAGGGTCGTTCCCTCATTCTCTGCCGAGCACCAGCAAGTAAAACACTGTATCCATGCGACTCTTAAAGGTCTCACTCTATTTCAGCGAGGATCTTCCCAGAAAAACGACCTCCAGTCTGTAGGTTTTTCCCCCGGCG